TTTAGTTTCTTACAGTAGAGGGGACGGAGCAGAGGCAGGACTCTTTTTTTTTTTTTTTTTAGGGCCGGGCGCGTTAACGCGTTAACTTTGCGTTAACTAATTAAGTCATTAACGCCGTCAATTATTTTAGCGCCGTTAACGCAGTTTTTATTATTTATTTATTTATTTTATTGTAAAGGTCTGTTTCTCACTGGCTTTTATTTTGAAAAAGTCCACCGCGAGCGTTTCTTTAAGTTTGACGTCTTTTCTTTACACTTTTTTCACTTTTTTCTGACCATGTGAGACGCAACATGTCCGAGCCTCCGCGAGCCGCAGGCTCCGGCTCCGGTGCTGGAGTCACTGATTTACCCAGAAACAACTGGAAGAAAAACTGTGATTGGTCCATTTCCATTCCATTATATTAACCCTTTGTTTCCTAAGAAATGTCAGTCCAAGTTTATAACACTGATCTAGAAATTATCATTAGTGTCGTGTTTGTTACTCACAGCATCAAACATATTCAATAAATATATTAGTCGTACAAACGTCCATTCAGTATTTTTTCTTGAACCTTCAGTGAAAACCTTGAAAACTCTGAGGTTCAACTCTGACAGAAATGTTCTGTTTGTACAACAAATGTTTGACTCTTTCATTTACATTTCCAATAAAAGTCACTATACTTTACTTTTTAATTCATTCATTGGGTTTGCGTATAACGTGATTAATCACGATTTTTAAAAAAATATTTTTGCCCAGCCCTATTTTTTTTTTTTTGTTCTGATCATTTTTTTCAGAGACAAACTTCCGTCTAAAACCAGACCACCACATCTGGGAGGGCATCTGACACACACAACATCTGGGGATTAACTACGAACGTTTGACCTGCTCCCTCAGTCTGACAGGACACGTCACAGGAGGACGGGAGGGTCCTGGTTTAGTCCTGGTTTAGTCCTGGTTGAGTCCTGGTTCAGTCCTGGTTTAGACCTGGTTTAGTCCTGGTTTAGGTTACGTTTTACCTGAGGACGGAGGACGGGAGGACGAGGACGGGAGGACGGAGGACATGAGGACATGAGGACGGGAGGACGGGAGGACATGAGGACGGGAGGACATGAGGACATGAGGACATGAGGACATGAGGACGGGAGGACATGAGGACATGAGGACGGGAGGACGGGAGGACGGGAGGACATGAGGACATGAGGACGGAGGACGGGAGGACGGGAGGACATGAGGACGGGAGGACGGGAGGACGGGAGGACGGGAGGACATGAGGACATGAGGACGGGAGGACGGGAGGACGGGAGGACGGGAGGACGGGAGGGCATCTGAGAGGATAATCCGTCTGTGATCTAAAGCTGCTCCAATTTAATAACATAATCTGAATATTCTGAAAATGGGGGCGAGGCTCCGCCCACACAGATTATGTCACAGACGAGAGTCCAGGACGGAATCAAGGGACGTGTGCAAAAAAAGACTCTGGGCACGCTCAGTTTGACTGACCGGGACGAATCGGGCGACGCCCACAGACGCCCACAGACGCCCACGGACGCCCACAGACGCCCACAGACGCCCACAGACGCCCACAGACCAACACAGACCAACACAGACTGAACAGACTAGTGGCACAGTGGCACAGTGGCTGAGTGTCTAGCACTCATGTCTCACAGCAAGAAGGTTCCAGGTTCAATGCCTTGGGGCACCAATGTCTTAAGTCCTGGTTGAGACCCAGATTAGTACACAGATACTACATACTACAAGTACAAGTACACGCAGAGGACGAGCAGAGGACGAGCAGAGGACAGTTTTTCAGTTCTGTCTCTGGTGGATTTTGTGACCAGACTCAAACATTTTTCACATTTTTGTTTGAGACTCGACGGAAGGAAGCAGCTTCAACACCACTGAGTTTAACCAGTTTAACACAGATTAAACTAAACTGAACCACCAGACCTGGTTTAGTCCTGGTTTAGTCCTGGTTTAGACCTGGTTTAGTCCTGGTTTAGTCCTGGTTTAGACCTGGTTTAGACCTGGTTTAGACCTGGTTTAGACCTGGTTTAGACCTGGTTTAGTCCTGGTTTAGACCTGGTTTAGACCTGGTTTAGTCCTGGTTTAGACCTGGTTTAGTCCTGGTTTAGTCCTGGTTTAGTCCTGGTTTAGACCTGGTTTAGTCCTGGTTTAGTCCTGGTTTAGTAGACCTGGTTTAGACCTGGTTTAGTCCTGGTTTAGACCTGGTTTACCTGGTTTAGTCCTGGTTTAGTCCTGGACCTGGTTTAGTCCTGGTTTAGTCCTGGTTTAGTCCTGGTTTAGTCCTGGTTTAGACCTGGTTTAGACCTGGTTTAGTCCTGGTTTAGACCTGGTTTAGTCCTGGTTTAGTCCTGGTTTAGTCCTGGTTTAGTCCTGGTTTAGTCCTGGTTTAGACCTGGTTTAGTCCTGGTTTAGTCCTGGTTTAGTCCTGGTTTAGTCCTGGTTTAGTCCTGGTTTAGTTCCTCTTCTGGTCCTCAAACTCATTTTTCTCATGATGATCACACACAACAGAACTCAGATCTACACATTTAAAACAGTTTTTAATGAACAGAACATTTCTAAATAAATCACTCGTTTGTTTTTTGAGTGTTTCATGCAAACACACTGTTCCTCGAGTGGAGCTTAAGCACCGGACACAAGGGGGCGCTGCACAGACTCTCACACACATTTCCTCCACAAAGAACAAAACACATGGACACGACGGAATAATAATAATATTGAACTTGTTTTTCAGTAAAATTTTGCAAAAAAAAAGTCAAAACAAAACGGCAGATTCTATTTACAGTCAGATACAGAAAGTTTAAATCAGACTTAGACTCTGGAGTTATGATCTGTGACACTTCTGGATCATTCCGTCATAATCACAAACTGTATAAAGACGTAGACTAAGGGAGTCAAATGAAGCTCATCGAGGGCGGCAGTTACCAGAGCGAATTTGGAGAAAGTTAAATTTTAGGAACAGGAATAAAATTGTGAATGAAAAACCCCAGGGTCGTGTGAACACTCCCCTCACCTGTGCTCATGAGCTCTGGGTAAAGCCCGAAAGGACGAGGCTACGGATACAAGCGGCGCAAATGAGTTTCCTCTGCAGGGTGTCTGGGCGCTAGTCTGATTCATCAGCCAGTTTCACTTTGTAGAATCCGTGTGACTCGCAGCGTTAGGATTCGTTCACTCGACAGTAGTCAGGGACTTTTTTTATTGAACCAGTCGCTGCTGTTTGTTTGTGGTGTTTGTAAAGCTCCACTAACAGGGATCCAAATCCCGTAGGAAGAAGAACAATAAAGTCTTTCTCCTTGATAAAATTCCCCAAACATTCTCTTTGTTTCAGCTTTAAATCCTCGATCTGGGGAATCGTTGACAACACAGAATGTCTGTCTCTTCTCTGATTGGCTGGAGCCTGAACTCACACTTCCGGGGTTATTCAAATCGTCTAGTGTTTTCTGATTCCTGATCTAGTCACTGGAGAGAAATGAAACTTAGCGGAGGCACTAGGAGGTGTGAGCCTTGATTAGCTGTAAGTACGTCTTTATTTATACAGCGTTTTTCACAGACGTATGTCACAAAGACGCTTTACAGAACATTATTCAGCATTATTCCTTCAGAGTGAAGAGTTCAGTCACACGGGAGGAGCTCGGAGTAGAGCCGCTGCTCCTCCACGTGGAGAGGAGCGTCTGAGGGGAGGACGTCTGTTCTGATGTCTCCTGGACGTGTCCCTCAGGAGGTGTTCATGTTCCACCGGGAGGAGGAGGAGACCCAGGACACACTGGAGGGACCATGTCTCTGGACTGGAGTCTCTGCTTAGACTGACGCCCTGCGACCCCGGAGAAGAGGAACAACATGGACGGATGGACAATCACAAAGAGTGAATTAGTACAAACATTTGGAGACCAAAATGAGGAGCCTGACAGCAGCAGTTACAGCGTTTTTTTACAATAGAAAGTCGATGGAGCTCACTTCCTGTTTGGAACGTTGCTTTGTCCATTTACAGAAAGAGTCTATGGTTACGATTTTAAATCCCAATATTGATCTAAAACGACTTGCATCAACAATCTCTCGTTGGTCCTTGTCCGACAAATCACAGAGTTTTACACTCAGAGTTAAAGTTAGTAAATAAAGAGTGTGTTTGTGTGTCTGAGCTGATCCAGAGCTTCAGTTTTATATAAAAACAAACTCAAGTCTTGAATAAATCCAACAGTCGTGTCTTCAGTCGTGCTCCTCCCCCTCGGGTTCAGAAAAGTCAGAGTTTGGGTTCAGTTTAAGTTTCATAAAGTTAATCTCAGGCAGAATCCACAGATTTAGTTTGAGGTTTAAAGGATTCCAGGGTTTGGTTCAGGTTTAGATGAGTCGAGTCTAGTTTGTGTCAGGTCCAGGTTCGGTCCGGTCCAGGTTCGGTCCGGTCTCACATCTGGACTGAGTCTCTCTTAAAGGGACGGCGCTGTTTAGATTCAGAACATGGTGGATGATCCTCATGTTCCGTCTGGACGTTACATTTATTTACATATTCACAGTTTGTCAGACGTGTTCTGGTGCTGCACCACCGCGCTCCAGCAGGGGGCGCTGTGCTTTGTCAAATCTAATATAATGATCATGTTTCATTCTTTGAAATGGTTCCTTTGAGTGACGGTCTGGGTCCCGCGGGGAGTTTGACACTGTCACTGTTTGTCTCTGTGGATTTGAGTTTCCTCAGATCTGCTCATGTCTCTGTTTCTCTTTTACCTCTTATTTGTTTATATAATTTAGTTATAGTTAAAGTTATAGTTAGTTAGATTTATATATATTATTTTTTATGTTATAGAGTGCACGTGTTGGACGAGCGCCGCTTGACTTTCCCTCCGTTTGTTTCTCCTCTTCCTCTTGTTGGTGCAGGTTTGTTTATTCTGTATTTCTTATTTATTATATTATTGTTTATATGCAGTTTAGTTTGTTTTTATAATTTAGTTAGACATAGTTTAGTTAGAGTTAAAGTTAATTATAGTTATATTAGTTATGTTTATATATTTTTATGCTATTGAGTGCGCGTGTTGGACGAGCGCCGCTTGACTTTCCCTCCGTTTGTTTCTCTTCTTCCTCTTGCGCTGTGACAGTCTCCAGCAGAGGGCGCTCGTTCCCAGCATGAGCGCGGCGACGGCGAGCAGGACGAGCCCGAGGAGGCCCATACGAGGGGGGGCGGGGCCAGGGGTGGGGCCGTGCGTCCCGGGCCCCGCCCAGAACCCCACGGCGGTGAGCATGGCCCCGCCCACCAGCGTGACGGCGCCGAACGGAAGCAGACACCTCCAGCACGACGCCTCGCTGCCGCCCGTCGCCGCCGACAGACGCATCTCGGCTGTGGAGTGCGGCGCCGAGCGGGTCGCCATGGGGACCGGCCGCGCTTTGCCGTGATTGGCCAGTTTGTCGCTGGAGCAGGAGGTGGGGATCCGAGCCGAGGCGCTGCGGGGCATCCGGGCTTTTCCGTCGTCCGGCATCGAGATCTTACTGGCGAGGAACAGGTGCGCCATGATGACCAATCAGAGCGCAGAGGGGAGCAGGATGGACCAATCAGAGCGCAGAGGGGAGCAGGATGGACCAATCAGAGCAGAAAGAGACAAAATGGGCCAATCACAGAGCAGTCACCTGAAAAAACCCAGAAAAGATCAATATTTTATTCATAATAATCTCACATTTACAGACTCACTGAAAAAGAAATACACCAGGACTAAACCAGGACTACACCAGGACTACACCAGGACTACACCAGGACTCAACCAGGTCTAAACCAGGACTACACCAGGACTACACCAGGACTACACCAGGACTCCACCAGGTCTAAACCAGGACTACACCAGGACTCAACCAGGACTCCACCAGGTCTAAACCAGGACTACACCAGGACTCAACCAGGACTCCACCAGGTCTAAACCAGGACTCAGGACTCAACCAGGACTCAACCAGGACTCCACCAGGTCTAAACCAGGACTACACCAGGACTACACCAGGACTACACCAGGTCTAAACCAGGTCTAAACCAGGACTACACCAGGACTACACCAGGACTACACCAGGACTCCACCAGGACTACACCAGGACTAAACCAGGTCTAAACCAGGACTACCAGGACACCAGGACTAAACCAGGACTACTACACCAGGACTCAGACACCAGGACTAACCAGGACTAAACCAGGACTAAACCAGGTCTAAACCAGGACTACACCAGGACTAAACCAGGTCTAAACCAGGACTCACCAGGTCTAAACCAGGTCTAAACCAGGACTAAACCAGGACACCAGGACTAAACCAGGTCTAAACCAGGACTCACCAGGACTACACCAGGACTACACCAGGACTCCACCAGGACTACACCAGGACTAACCAGGACTCACCAGGACTACACCAGGACTAACCAGGACTAAACCAGGACTAAACCAGGACTAAACCAGGTCTAAACCAGGTCTAAACCAGGACTAAACCAGGACTCCACCAGGACTAAACCAGGTCTAAACCAGGACTAAACCAGGACTACACCAGGACTACACCAGGACTCCACCAGGACTAAACCAGGTCTAAACCAGGTCTAAACCAGGTCTAAACCAGGACTACACCAGGTCTAAACCAGGTCTAAACCAGGACTAAACCAGGACTACACCAGGACTACACCAGGACTAAACCAGGACTAAACCAGGACTAAACCAGGACTAAATCCAGGTCTAAACCAGGACTCCACCAGGACTCCACCAGGACTCCACCAGGACTCCACCAGGACTACACCAGGACTAAACCAGGTCTAAACCAGGTCTAAACCAGGACTACACCAGGTCTAAACCAGGTCTAAACCAGGACTAAACCAGGACTCCACCAGGACTAAATCCAGGTCTAAACCAGGACTCCACCAGGACTACACCAGGACTACACCAGGACTAACCAGGACTAACCAGGACACCAGGACTCACCAGGACTCACCAGGACTCCACCAGGACTCCACCAGGACTCCACCAGGACTACACCAGGACTACACCAGGTCTAAACCAGGTCTTTGTGCATAGCTCCCAGAAGGAAATAAATCAAGTCTTTACTCACTCTGAGAAAACTCCAGACTTTCTCCGTCCAGAGGTGATCTTGGTTTAGTCCCGGTCTGGTCCTGGTCTATCCCTGGTCCCCCTCGGTCTGTTTGTGCAGGTCTAGTCCAGGTCTAGTCCTCGGTCCGGACTTCATGGCTCTGGACCCACAATGAATAAAAGTGTGAGAGAAAACCTGAGCCCTCCCCTCGTCTCATCTGACTCTGTTTAACTGTTTCACTGCAGCGAGAACCAGAACCAGACCAGGACTAAACCAGAACCAGACCAGGACTAAACCAGGACTAAACCAGAACCAGACCAGGACTAAACCAGGACTAGACTAGGACCAGACCAGAAATGAACCAGGACTGAAGCAGGTCTGAACAAGAACTGGAACAGAACTAGACCAGGACTAAACACTAAACTAGGACTTTCTGTGGACTAAACCAGGACTCTCAGAGGTCTGTCCCGGGTCCGTGCACCTCGTCTTGAGAAGCCGTGTGTGAAGTGGGTCAGCGCAAACATCTGGACGTCTGTGGTCGTTATGTTCTGCCGTTTCCATGGCGACGCTCACATCTGGCCGTCATCAGAAACGTGTTCATCTCACAGACGCTTTTCCAGACCGTCGCTCACGTCCAGGGTCACGTTTAGACCAGCACGAGAACAATCCACATCTGAGAGCGACTCCAGACCCAAACCCTAACAACACCACAAAACTGAACACACAAACACTCGAATCTGTCAGAAAACGACTTAAACGTAGAGAAATGATCATTTTACTGGACAAGTTCTCTTCAAATAAACGACCTCTAGACGAGAAGGAAGCATCTCTGAGTGTTCATGAGGCTGGAAATAAGTTTATGGAGGCAAAGTTTGAGATAAACAGACTTAAAAACAGTTTATGATGAGTGTTCATGGCCTGATAATAAATTAAAAGATGCTAAATTCTTGATATAAATGTTTGAAATCTGACATGAGAGGAGCTCGTCATTTCTAGCTGAGTCATGGAAGAAAAAGTTTATGTGACAATTTTTAAGATTATATGACCAATTCAGAATTATTCATCCATCCATGTTCTTCCTCTTATCCAGGGTTCAGTTGTGGGGGCATCAGACTAAGCAGAGACTTCCTTCACCCCAGACACTTCCTCCAGCTCCTCCAGTGGGACCTGAGGTGTTGTCAGTCCAGTCCAGAGGTTTGTCACTGGTGTCAGAGGTCACACTCCTCTGTTCTGTCTGCTCGTGTGGGCTGGACGTCCCGAGCCACTGAGGCTCAAACACTTGTACCTGTTGGTCTATAAATGTTTTCTTGGTTTTCTTCTTCTGCTCTCGTTTTACCTGCAAAAGCAGGAGGTTCAGAAAAGTTCTGGGGCCTTCAGCCTGAGCTCACACCATTTGTTTTTGTTGTCATTTCCCAGAGTAAAGTCTGAGTTTGGTAAGAAGCTTTTCAGTTTCTGCTCCTTCAACATGGAACTTTTTACAAAATGATTTGAAGTTAAAGGAGCTGGTGTCATAGTTTAAATGATCTTTGAATTGTGTTGAATGTTCTGTTTTACTGAATGTTTTGTATGTTTGTTTTTATGTTTGGAAACTGTAGTTTTGTAGGACGCTCTTGAAAAAGAGATTTTTTATCTCATTGAGACTTTTTCCTGGTTAAATAAAGGTTAAAAAAAAAAAGTTTTTTGGTCAAAACGGTGAAGTTTTTTTTTGGAGAAGCAAAGTTCAGATTTTCCGTCCGACGTGCAGGTGCTGAATCTTTAAACAAAGTCTTTGTGTCTTTGTGATTTTTGAACTGATCAAGTTTTGAAGCTGGAGGAGCTGGAATCGAACCACAAACCCTCCGGTCGCTGACGCTCCGATCAGACTGTGGCTCCTGTGTGCAGGTCGTCGTGGCAACAGCGAGTGTGAGTATTATGGGATGTGGCAGGTGCAGGAAACAGCTGGAGCTCGAGTTTGTGCTGAGGACAGAAAAAAGTTTAAAAAACTAAAAATACTAAACATGAGTCAGCGGAGACAAGACGGGACTGAACCGGGACTAAAGTGGGACTAAAGTGGGACTAAAGTAGGACTAAACCAGGGACTAATATCAAGACTAAACAAGGGCTAAACTAGAACTGAACCAGGACCAAAACCAGGAGTAAAATTGGACTTGGATCCTGGATTAGACTGGGTTTAGTTCTTGTAAGTGAGTTAGTCTAAACCTGATCTAAACCAGGATTAAACTCTGGTCTGAACCTGGTCTAAACCAGAACCGAACCCGGTCTTGACCTGGTCTTGTGTCCTCTAGTCCCTGTGTCTCAGTGTGGATCAAAGTTGACCTCTGACCTCTGACCTCACAGATGTGCACAGCTGGGGTTTGGAGTTTCACTTTACACAATCGTCCGGCCACCAGAGGACGAGACGTTCACAGATTTAAGAGTTCTACAGAGTTCTACAGAGTTCTACAGAGTTCTACAGAGTTCTACAGAGTTCTACAGAGTTCTACAGAGTTCTACAGAGTTCTACAGAGTTCTACACTTTGATTTTCATGAATTGATAAAGAAGAATTGAGCTGTTAAACAAGTCGCTCTAAAATAACATCACAGTCTCAGTGTGAACTCGGAGTTCACTCATGTTCCCACAGCTCTATGTCGCCTCATTTCAAATAAGTTTTTTTTTTCTCTCCAAACTTAGACTCTGTGTTTCCCACATTTTCTTTATCATCAGTTTACATCTGAATTTATCCCCATTTCTCCCAGTTTGGTCAAATCGACCGGACCTGTTCTCCAGCAGCAGGTGATTACAGATGTAATGCAGTTTTAGACAAATCTGGGAACATAGAGCTCACTGTTTCCCTTTAGAATTTCATTTGGAGGAAAATCTTAGAAATAAGAAACTTCTTAGAACTGAGGGCACATGGAGCTGATCAGTGTTTTCAGTTGGTCACTCTCACTTTTTAGGTGAAACTTTGTCCAGACTCCTGAACAGGACCATGAACAGTTGGACTGAAAATGTGCAGTTTAAATCCATTTTGTATATATTTTTTTTATTTTATTTTATTTTTTCTTCAAACTTTTTGCAGGTGTTTGCTGTGATGTCGAGTGTGATGTCACTGCCGCCGTCAAAGCCTCAGTCCTGTGTTTCAGTTTGTTTATATCAAAATATAATTATGATTTTTTGAACAGTCGACTCAGAGCGATTATCCTGATAAATCTCTGCAGCTCAGTCACACGGGAGGAGCTCGGAGTAGAGCCGCTGCTCCTCCACGTGGAGAGGAGCGTCTGAGGGGAGGAGCTCGGAGTAGAGCCGCTGCTCCTCCACGTGGAGAGGAGCGTCTGAGGGGAGGACGTCTGTTCTGACGTCTCCTGGACGTGTCCCTCAGGAGGTGTTCATGTCCCACCGGGAGGAGGAGAAGACCCAGGACACACTGGAGGGACCATGTCTCTGGACTGGACTGGGAACACCTCAGGTCCCACTGGAGGAGCTGGAGGAAGTGTCTGGGGTGAAGGAAGTCTGGGAGTCTCTGTTCAGACTGATGCTCCGAGACCCGACCCCAGAGAAGAAGAAGAACATGGAGGATGGATCTCTGCAGTCCAAACTTTTCTGTTGGAAGTTCAAATAAAAAACTGGGAGATCCTCAGTTTTAATAAAATTGTGAAACAAAGACGTAATTAAAGAAAACTGTTCTTGGCTGTTCTCTGCACTCGGCCAATTCATGATTTATTCACGACCAAAGTGAGTCAGTAGAGTCACATTTTACTTTTTTTTGACAGTTTATGTCTCTACAGGGAAACATTTGGTTAAAAACAGGGACACATGGGACATTTCTTGTATAAAACTGGAACAAATTACTGGTTTTGGATAAATTCACTGGGACAAGGGACAACAGATACTTGAAATCTCACATTTACAAACTCACTTAACAAGGACTAAACCAGGTCTAAACCAGGTCTAAACCAGGTCTAAACCAGGTCTAAACCAGGTCTAAACCAGGTCCATTGAAATGTTATTGCTTTTCCTGGAATGTTTCGCAGTGTGGCATTAAATCTGAGAAAATGTCTTCTGAACGGAGCTGAAAACGATTCAGATGAGCTGCTCCACGAATGAGGGACTACACCAAGTTACAGGTCAGATCAGTGGAGCGGCGAGAAATAAAAGACCAGATCAAAAACAGGTGATGAAAAGTTCCACAGTGCGGCTTTAAAATGCAAACGTTAAAATCTAGACCAGACTGAAGTGGCCCAGACCCGGCGAGCCGTTTTTAAACCTGATGACGCGGCAGAGGAGCCGAACGGAGCCAGAACACAGCGACCTGTTTAAAAGTGGAACAGCAGGTGCAGCGTCGTACGAGCAACGTCTGCGAGAAAAAGAGCAGAAAACAGCCCCAAACTCCCAGCGACACGAGAACCTCACAAGAACACGGACTACAGCGTTTACTCAAGAGGACGGAAAACTCACCTCCATTTAGTTAGAAACAGAAGCGTCGATATTTTTGAAGTTTATAATGTGACTTCCTGGTTGGACACAGAGGTTACCTTGGCAACCATGATGTAAACAAGAGTCAAAAAGTGTCAGAATATATCTAATCTGAACCTGAAAGTGGAATGTCTTCATAAACAAAACCAGTAAAACAACATGGAACATCAAAATGTCCAGACCAAATGCATGTTTAAATAAGAACCTGGAACTCCAGACTGTTGTTCCGAGAGAATTACACAATAAATCTGATTAAACTCCTACAAATAAAAGAGCACAGCTTTATTTTGTTAAATGAAGGTTTAAAGAGTCAGAAAAATCCTTCTTTGTGCATAAACTGTCTCCAGGCTTTTTCACTGACAACATTTCAAAACTTTTCCAGGACTTTTTCATGACCTAAAGTGAATTTTCCACGAATTTACGGCAGAGGTGGAAACAAATCATCGTTTTGAATCTCAAACAAGTCTCAAGTCTTTGACCTCAAGTCCCAGGTCAAGTCCAAGTCAAGTCTCAAGTCACTGGTCCAAAAGTCCAAGTCAAGTCCAAGTCGTCTGCTTTGAGCTTCAAGTCATTTCAAGTCTTTAAATCAAAGTACCAAATACAGACAG